GCGGGCGGGCAGCGGCGGGGCGGCGGGGGCGGCGGCGGGGCGGCGGGGCGGCGGTGCGGGCAGGCGGCGGGGCAGGCGGCGGGCGGGCGGGCGGGTCGGGCGGGCGTGAGTGCGCGAGCGGGCGAGCCGGACGGGCGAGCGGGACGGCGGCGAGCGAGCGAGCGAGCGGGCGGAGCGAGCGGGCGGGACGAGCCAGCAGGCGGGTCGGCGGGCTGCCGGCGCCCCAACTCACAGCCGTGCGGGTTGGTGGACTTGAACGACACTTCAACGGGCAGGTTCCAGACCAGTAGCTGGCGCTCGTCCTGGCTGCGCTTGCTGATCTGCGAGATACCCTCGTCCAGACCCTGGCGGCGGGGCGGCTGTCGTCAGTGGGAGGCTGACTCGTGCGCGGTGACGACGGGACACAGCGCTGACCCCGAACTCTGTTCGGCTCACTTCAGAGTGCATGTCGGCACGTTAAACTTTCGTCACACAGATTGTGCCATTCAACTGGAATTTCACGATCGGTAGTGGGATTAGGGATCATACGAGTCATGATAGGCGTGGGCTGTAATCTCAGAAATCTGCACAAACAAACATTGGGAGTTCATTCATATGAAGCTCATGCAGTGGTCAACATTACAACACAATCTCAAGGTACATAAAAAGTGATTTACGAACTGGTAAAATATATACAAATGCTTTGTTATACTTAAAATGTGCATCAGCATAAATCCAAGGCAAAACATCCAAAGCCGAGTTCACTACTGGCTGAGGCATAGAACACGACCAGCATCTGCACGTACCGCCACCATCTCCCAGTCGGGGCCATGGTGGAAAGAGTAGCGGCAGTAGACGTCATCAAAGTCAGCCAGGCTTGCTGACTCAATCTGGCCTGTCACAGACACCATGAAGCCTGGCTCATTGGCTGCCATTGCCTTTGGACCTGCAAACAATTTAGAGCATGCTGACCAGCACCACCACTAGGCTGGCAGGTGGTAGCATCAACACCAAAACTGACACTTTAAAGCAATGTGAAGTAAAATAAATGACACAAAAATGGCTAGTTACTACATGGTATACCTAGAGGTAAAGCAAAATCACAATGATTTTGGTTTACAACATGCCAGTACTCTTGCTGCTAAACGACCATGCCCACTAGCTCTAAAAATCCTTCAACAACAAATCCATATTTGCTCTCTCAGCCCACATTCCAACTTCATGTCTAGAACATGTATAAGCCACTAGTCCCATGCCAGAATGTCCTACATGTACCACAGCACCACAGATCCTATACATGTATACATACACAGTTTGCGTGACATTAACAGGTACAGAACAAATAACTTATATATGCCCTGAACATCAAGTTTGAAGGTGGGCTAAGAGAAAATATGAATATAAGACATCTACATGACATTAACAGATACAGGACTAATGACTAATATATGTCCTAAACATTAAGCTTGAGGGTGGGCTGACTGCAAAATATGATTTTTAATATGTTTTAGAATCTTGAATTAGCGCACATGGCACCCCATGGCACCCCACAGGCAAAGAATCATTCTTTTCATTCATGTCGAGGCGCCCGAAAACACCAATGAACAAGTCAATCAATCATTCATTCATTCAATCATTTCCCAAATCATGTGCTTGACTGTAGCCTTCGCGTCGCACTTTGCCGAAGTCCTTTTGACTCGCCGCGTGGCGCCGCTGGCCCTGCACGACCGCTCTGCTCGGGAGTTGTTTGTCTCGTTCCGGATATCTGACAGCGACAGCGCTGGCATTATGCTGCAGACCGAGCTGAGCTGTTGTGCGAGTGGGTGGCCGGCGGCGACGTGTTTGTTTTCGGGCGCCCAGCCAGGGGTGCCGCCCCGGTCTGAAGTGGGGCGTCACGGCCTTGTCTGAGCCGGCCGTTCAGGCACCGACGCGGTGATGGCAACCACAGCGGTCCGTCGTCAAGGCCCCGCCTCCCCAGATGGGTGGATGGGATGGGGTTAGGAGGGGGAGGGATGGAGGCACTTGGTCGATCATGATCACTGCCGCAGCTCACAGTTCTTAGTGTGACTTAACTTTGTCACTGAAAACCCAGCTCAGTGCGCCGGAGGCACGCGCAATTTCTTGCGTTTCGTAAAACAACATCGCATTTTTCGAAATCGTTGATGTTTATGTGTATCGTAAACATGGATCTATTTTGGGAAACACGCCATTCTCATTGGTTCGACATACACCAAACATTATTTCTGGCAACGCCAGTTATCCCGTCGAGGTACCGTTCATCCACGTGCGTTTGTACGGTGCCATTAATATTACATTATATGCACTTCCGTGCGTCTTATTTGATAAGACCGCTTCATCGCGCCGTGTCCATGCTGTAGACGGCGTTGGTAGGAATCTACGTTTCTTGAAACACGGCACCGTAAATCCTTTTCGTGTCCTCCAGTTATGAGTGTGAAATGTGCAGATCGTCTTGTAAAACCGATAGCTCAAGCGTGCTGAAACGCTGCTCGCGTGTCATTCGACTTTTCTTGATATTGCGCATTCATCGGGAAGAGACTTGAAATCATACCAAACTGCAGTATGTTTCACTCGTTATCTCATTGGTAGAACACCGCAACTTGATTTTGTATTTCGTGTTGAGTCTACATTTGGCAACACCGACGTCCTTGACCTCTGTGCTCAGGGTGTGCGCACTTACTTTTCAACACTGGGGAAGAATGACTTAGAGCTGGATTTTTGACGATTTTGGGGTGGTGGAAACGAATGGTGGTTTGGTTTGTCAGTGTGGTCTTGAATGAATCAAATGGATCTTTCCCTCACTTTTAGCGTTTCCCGTAAAGGTGGTTTCCCAAAGACGGATAAAAACGGCATGTATGAACTAACTATTTTAAAATTCGTTTTTGTTCGTTTTCAGTGTGGCCAAAGTTGCATTAAGTTGATCGAAGCAGATCTCTCTCAGTTTATCTTGTCCAAGTTGCTAGTTCGATGTCGATGGACCGATACTATGGCTGGGTGTATACGTTAGTATGCACCATTCATTGGTCATTCATTTCATTCATTCAACAGTCTCTTTGGTGTTGAACCCAATGCCTTGCCTACTGGACCCCCCGCTGATCCTTGTGCATCACAAATAAGCAGTGATTTGAACAGCGTGTTTGACGTTGAGCCCAGCACCTATGCTCATTGAGATCCTCCCGGTGATAATTGGGGCTGGGCATGTGCCTCCGCCGCCTGCGTTCAAGCATTATGGGCCGGTGCGTCGGCAGGGCCTGCACATGGCGCGAGACGTGCGCGCTGTCAAGTACCTCGAGTGCTCGGCTCTCACTCAGAAGGGCCTGAAGAACGTCTTTGACGAGGCGATTCGGGCTGTCCTGTTCCCCGTGCCGCGCAAACCCGAACGGCACGCCTGCCGTCTGCTATAGATGGCGTGGCGGGCGTGGCAAAGGCGGCATAGGTAGCGCTACTGGTACTGGACGCATGCCTGGCGTTTTCTCGTGTTGGTCTTGATTAGCTGTGGTGACGAAGTGGAGCTCGATCGCATATCACGCATGGTTTCTTATGGCAAGATTGTGGTATTTTATCACTGACTGGCGTGTAACCCAGCTTGTTCGGTGTCAAACTGGAGTCCCAGAGTGTCGCACCCTTTTTACCAAGTGTCTTTTCGACTGCGCGTCAGGAAACTCGGATCTGAAACCATGAAACCCTCGGTCTTCTTTGCACATTGATAGCCCTAGACAGGATGCACGCGTGTGGCATGCGTCCCACTGCCTTGGTGTGGGCCCGCGTGGGGGCTTGTGTTTTGTGTGTCGTCCGTTTGCTACCCAGATCCAGCTACCGAGATCCAGCTACCCAGATCCAGATCCCTTCGCGACGGTCGGGCCGCGTGGTAACCGACCATAACGTGCGCGGCGGTGGGGCCGAAGGTCGCCTACACCGCCGTCGCGCATGGCATGCTGTGAGTTTCTGGAGGAGGTTGTCTCCGTCGAGCCGTGCACTGCACCCTGGTGTCGTGTCGCCGTCAGGGGCCCAGGGGTCAGGGTCAGGGACCCAGCGGCCAGGGTCAGGGGGCCCGACACGGTTCGCGTCGGAACTGTGTGACATCGTCATGAGATGACCTGTGGCTGGTTTGGTGTCGCCTCTGGTTATTAAGCCGTGTGTTGTGGCCGTGATCAGTTGCGAAGCCCCGCTGACGGGGCGCGGTCGCGCCCGTGTACCATGCACCCCGTGGCCCGTATCGTTTGCTGTTTCTGGTTTGGACTCTGGCAGTCTGCTCCTGTGTGTGTGTGCTGCCGTGGATGTGGGCCAAACCAGCAGTTGTCGGAATTCAGTCGTATCTTCTGACATTCGCAATGATATCTATGAGACAGGGGTGCAGTGGAAGTGCTGGGCACGTGGTCACGCTCCCGGGGTCCAGCGCCAAATAGCTGAAGACGGCGCCGCCGGCGTGTCGTGTACGCTGGCTCCCCGTGTGCGGTCTTCATGTCCCGTCGCATGTCTCCGTCTCCGAGCGTGGGTTCGTGCCGTCCGGTCGGTGTCGGCTGGACCGGGTGCAGAGTTCGCGTGGCCTCTTAAACTGGTCCCACGGCGGACTTGTTGTAGACGGGCACCGGGCGGTCGGAGTGACGGCGCTGCCGTTGTGGCTGCGGCAGCTGTCCGGCAGCTGTGTACGTGTCGCCAGTGGGATGCCGGTCTGACCTTTGTGATCTGACCCGGCCCCTGCGTGATCCTTGCGACCCGGACGCAGCGCCGTCTGAGTATTGTCTGACTTCGCCTGCGGGGTGTTCATGGCTGGTGTGTGACCTGAGCGTTACCTGACCTGTGTGACATGACCTGGACGTTACCTGACCTGCGTGACCTGACCTGGGTGTTCGATGACCTGTGGGACCTGGCCTGGGAGTTACCCGGCCCGTGTGATCTGACCTGACCTTACCTGACCCGTGGGACAAGATATATTACTTGACCTGCGTGACCTTACCTGACCCGTGTGACCTGGCCTGACCAGTGTTTGACCCCATCTGCAGGGCCTGGCGATGGTGAAGGAGATCGGCGCCGTGAAGTACCTCGAGTGCTCGGCGCTCACGCAGAAAGGGCTCAAGACTGTGTTCGACGAGGCCATCCGTGCCGTGCTCTGCCCGCAGCCGGCGCCGCCCAAAATCACGCGCTGCACGCTGCTGTGAGCGGCGCCGTCTCTTCCCCCATAGCTAGAGCAACGAAGCCTCAGCGCCGCCGCCCGCTCCCGCGCATGGGGAGCAGCGAAGCCCCAGTGCTGCTGTCTGCTCTGGGCGCCGACGCCGGCCGACCGTACCGTTACACGGCTTGATCGCCGCATGACCCGCCGGGGCGGGCTGCCACTGCCTCCGCGAGCGGCTTGGCTTCCAGACGAGCGCCGGATAGCCTGCAGCAGAGGCCCGGCCCGGGCGCCGCCCCCTGCCGTTGTGCGTGGGATGTGGATGACGGTGGGTACCACCACCTCTCGTGCACGGTGGAAGATGGCGGCGTGCGCCTGCTCGGTGCGGTGTGAGAGAGCGCCGCCTGGCTGCGGCTGGGCATTATCAGCACGTGTGTAGGCCGTGTGATACCGCATGTCGGCACCGGCTCGCGCGCTGGGGGGGGGGGGGGAAGCGCCGGCTGGGAGGCAGACGAGACGCGCTGCCTGCAGCCACGTGAAAGGGAGGGCATGCGGACGGGCTCTGCGTAGGCGGCAGGGAGGCGCTGCGGGAGGCCGCGAGGACTGGGTCCTCTCGGCGTTCCTGCGAGGATGTGAGGAGCAACGCGAAAGGCGAGCGGTTGTGGTGAAGGCACCGGGGTCGGCGATGATGTTGCGTACTGCAATGCTCATAATCGCTACCAAAGCACGGACGGTGTGGCTTGAGAAACGCCGTTGACGGCGTCGGAGACGGCACGTGGCTGCCACCTGGCGGAGTAAATACGAACCTGTGCCTGCTGGGGCGCCGCTGTGTCCGCCTTGGCGCTTGGTACGCAGGCTCGCAGCGCTCTAGGTCATGATGATCGCGTCAGATGTGAGCGCTGGCGCCTGTGCAGGAGTTGCGACGGCATTCATATCTGGCGGACTTTGTCCGTATCCAGTGGAGCTGTTTCGTGCCCTCAGACTGGGAATGAGGTCGCGTTCGAGTGTCGGCGACTGCAATTGCTTATGCTTATGCCAGTTGTGATACGCACGGCCGGGAAGAGTGACCGTGATGGTTCTCGTGCTAGAGTTTTACGCCCGATGTGTGTCCATATTTATCTCCCGTGCGGTGAATGTCCATATTTATCTCCGCCACCGCTGCATTTGAGAGGTGCATTTGCCCTGCTGCCATAGTGCGAGCTTCAGGCCGAGCGTCACACGGCGGCCGAGGCGCTTCCCTGCCCAGCTGAGTACGGGGGCCGTGGACAGGGTGCCGTGACTGGACACCATCGGTGGCCGTGCCCCCGTCTCTGGTTGCTGTGAGTGGTGCCACACACTGCCGCTGTTTATGGCAGGGGTGGGTCGGAAGGAGGTTCGTCTGTCGTGGGGACGCTCCCTCGGCGGGGCTTCACGGGGTTCGATGTCGGCACGGCCGCGGTGGTGACGTCGCGCGGCTGGTCGGGAGGTGCCGAACGGCAATCTGGGGCGCCGCTCCCAGCCACCACGGCCAGCGCCGCTGGGCTGGCGGTGCGGGTCGCGCCGGCCACTCGGTGATGTCGGGTATGGACGGCGTCTCGCGGCGCCGCAGTGTTTAGGCTGTCAGCCAAGGTCGCGCGTGCTGCACACTGTCCCCACCACGGGGGCGGCGCGTGTTTGTTGTGTGGAGGAATTAGTTCGTGGCAGTGTCTTGGAACTCTGTCAGCGCATCTGTAACGTTGAAAGACATGCGTTGTACTGTGCGTGTGTGCCGTAATAAACCGCCGAATCGTGTTGCCGTTTGTGGATAGTGCGTGCTGCGAGAGGACCAGCGGCGGTAGCTGCTTTCAGGTGCGGCAGACCGGTGCTGTTACCAGCACTGAAACAGTGGTGGCGCCTCCACTGTCTGGTCCGCATCATATTGTCCAAGGTACAGAATGTCCAAGGACCAAAGCTTCAAAACTAGTTCCTACAGCGGCCGCCAGGGTAAGAATGATCGCCCTTATTGGCAGGCAGCGTTGCCCCGCCCAGCGCCGGCCGCGCGCATACAGTCGACACCATTACGAAGACCACGCGCGTGAGGCTGGCCGGCCGGATTACTAGCTTAGTAACAGATCCATGTCTGCTCCACGACGCAATAGAGCCGGCTGGAGGCGCCGCGCCGAGCATTGGTTGCTGATCGTCAAAGTTGGGCCCGGTAAGATTTGCCTGCGTTTTGGGCTGCTAAAAAACATTGAAAGCGGGCGGAATATAAAACGGAATTATAGCCGCGCTATGCCCGAAAATATAATTGTCGAAATCGACACCAGCAGTGGGCAATTCTGGCTCCCGATCTTGACTGCTCAATTGTCAGTATAATGCAGACATCATATGTTCGGGTTAACAAGTTTAAACAACTTCAAATAACATATAAGCTCGAGGTTGTCGCTTCTGGCATCATACACTAGCATTGTGGTTACTATGGGATGGGGTTTCAGCAAAAGCAAGCTAACATCAAAAATGTTTCGTGGTCAGTAGTGAATATCGTTGAATGAGGGCGAATGCTCTTCAATATGGTATTAAAGAAACACCCCATATCCAGCACGTGCAGAAAGCTGATCGAAACACGGCCGGTTAAATTTGATGTAATAGATGACCACTATCAAGAATAAGGTCAAGGTGTTCAAGACAATGACTAAAGCACCATTTCTAAATGCACTTCACATGAAAAACGCTGCTCATGTCACGTCCCAAGATGATGCATGCTTACTTACCTCGATTAAAGTTGACGATTGCGCGCAACAATTTAAATATATGCATACTTGTTTCCTGACGTTAAAATGTATTGTTTACAACTAGCGTTTCTTGTGCAATGCTGCATCTATCAAAACTACGCGCGCGATGCGATTGCTTAATTCGACATTAGGTATACTTAACGTGTTTACATGTCTTGTTTTCTTCGCAACGATGTGCGCACCTTCTGTATACTTGCGCCACTGAGGTGTCCAATGAACCGGCCTGAAATCTGGCGCTTCGATTATCCCACCTGAACTGTCCCTGTACTTAAGTTCCTGGAGATTTGATGTCTTATCCCATTTTTTGATTTCATTTTCAATCCCTTGGCGCATACGTGAGGAGCTTTTACCTCCAAAAGGAACACTAGGGTTTCCTGGGGCGGTCAACTAGAATGAAATCAGGATGAGGACTAAGCTCATGCATATTGCTTGCGTGGGTCCCGTATTTACTATCACAGATATACATATAATGTATATATGTATATATATATATATATATATATATATATATATATATATATATATATATATATATATATATATATATATATATATATATATATATATATATATATATGTGTGTGTGTGTGTGTGTGTGTGGAATGTATATATACATATATACACATGTAATGTATGTATGTAAATTTTTGTGTATATATATATATATATATATATATATATATGCACATTTATGCGGAAAATAAATAATTTAAGTATTGGAACCCATGTTATGCTGTGCAGCCTTCAGAAAACGAGGGCTAAAAAGAGCAAAAAAAGAAACAACTAAAAGCTATCACTACTTTGGCTAAAAGGCCAGGGATGTCATGTACATATCCTTTTTATCTGAAAATTTGATGGCAGAATTTGTTTGGAGAGGACCCCAAACTCTAGGGGGCACCACAATGTTGCGTGCTCCCCCCCCCTTCACAACATACTGGACCCGCCCCTGTTTGCAATCATTCCGCCGTGCAGTGGTAGCGCGGTATATCCCTGTTCTCACATGACGTGATCTATAAAGACGTGTTCCACATACGAAGAATGCTTTTATTTCAAATTTTTACGGCTTCTTTTTGGACGTGATGAGAAATTACATCGAGGAGGCGCAATACAGGCGGCAATGGACACCCGTTTTTGCAGGTATATATTGTCGTGGAAAACGAGAAGCACTTTCCGTTTAATTTAATTTCAAACGCATTATGCTCACACGACTGAAGGCCAGAAGAAACGTGCAACGCTCTTAATAATTGAGATTTCATGGCTGCTTGTTGTTTAGTCATGGGCGTGCCGACGCGAAGTGTAGTATAATCGAGGCACCATGGGCTTGAAGCGTGTTGTTATGGCTTAGGTCCCATCTAGCAGTACTACAAATAAGGTGTGGAGGAAGCAATCAACTTTATTGAGCGCCCTGCACCGGTATGACAGACATGTTGGGATAGCGTTTGTAATTTTAGCAAAGAAAGCTAGCCAGTCGGTCTCCTAGGCTCCGATGTGACAAATTTTGTCAGTATATCTGATGTGCAACTTTGATTTAAGCCTCATTTCGAAAGAGAGATGAAAGAAAACAAATACTAGAGCTAGGGGAGGTGCACGGCTATTTCATGTAGCTATGCGCTCAAGTCGTGCACTGAGATTGCCGAGAACACCAAGCTATTGTCAAATCTGTGAGATGGTTCTTGGAAACAGTCAGGATGCACTCAGCGCGATGCCGAAGAATGATATGCTATCAAGTTTTCCTCGATTATGTTCACTATACCGACGCTATTCATTCTCTACACGGAGTATTCCAACAAGTTGTTGCATTCTTTGTCACCTTTTAGTGTTTTCGCGTATAGTGATAGTATCTAAACTATCATCCTGCTAGACTTTTTATCTATGCTATGTCTGGATTCATCTTTTCTTCCAGTTATATGACATATAAGACCATGATCGCACATGCGACACGCCGACGACACTTGCGCGTTTTGGTTCATGGAACTAGCTCTTGCCAGGCTTCTTTGTCGAAATCGAAAGAAAAAGGACTGTCATAAACACCTTATCAAGCTTGTCATATATGCTTCAATCAAAGACGTAGGAACGTTTCAAAAGGTGGGGGCCAACCTCAGGGTGTACTTCAGCAATTTTTTTCTGGAAAGCGAGCCCGATGACCGGCGAGAGGGGGCAGAGATGGAGATTGTCATCGCTCTTTATTCAAGTGCCGTGGCTGCTACGTTAGATATGCATCTAGAGCTGTTTCTCACTGGTGCACAGTCTTGCCTATTCGACTTATCTGTCATTTGGCAAATAAGGCTATCTGGCTCCCCGAGATTATTCGTCCATTTTAACATTATCCCTCCTGGGAGAGCTAAATTGCACGAGCGGGTAGGCATTTTGGGCCGTTGAGGAGGCATCTACCGCCACAGTGTAAATGCCAAAGTACGGCCTGCACATAGGCTAGTGAGAATTTTGAAAGTGGATCGATGGCTCACACTGCTTTTAAGAACCAAGCCACGAGGCCCATCTTCCATATGTTCCTTATCTGGGCCCTGCTCCTGTCTGCCGTCGGTGGTCACTGCCCTGGCCCGGATGCCTCCCGCACGACTGACTGCGAGCTGATCGTATGGCTACTTTGTTGCATACTTTTGGATCAGCGCTACTACTACATGGTGAAACATGTGTTGGACATTTGCAACAGTATTTTTTTTCCGAATAACCTTCCCTTATACCATACCATCGCAGAAAAATAGCC